GAATGAATTATTCAGTAACAAGCAGCCAAATATATACAAAAATGAGATTCACAGATTTATTCATATTTCCAGTTAGTTTATTATCATTTCAAATTTTTATTCCAGAATTACAAACTTATATTATTAGAATTTAATTAGTTTATTTTGGAATAAATAGTATTTTACAATAAAATAATGCTATCTGTTTATATTATTTTCAATTCAACATTCTTAAAAAAAAAAACCGTCCTTTAGAAAAAAAATTATTATACTAATCGTTTTAATAATAAATACATCCATTTAATTATCTCAAATAATTATGATTTTATTTTCTTTTCATTTTTAAAAATTTTGTAACTCTTAAAATGATCATTTTATATCTTTTTCTTAACATTTTGCAATGAAATAATGTGGAAGAATTAGCAGGAGAATACTAAATATTCAGATCAACTAATGTTCAATTATTTTTTGCTTTTTTACAATAAACAAATTTAAATTTCCGACAAAATCAAAAGAAGGGGAGAGAGAGAGAGAGAGAGAGAGGGAAAAGTGGTTGATAATTAATGAAGCTATAAATGATATGACTCAAAGATTAATAAAGATAATTGAAATTTAGGTTAACAAATATAGTATATATTCAGTATTATTGATCATATCATTATCAGAACTATGTCAACAAAAGGTTATTTAACTGTCAGAAATCCTACATAACCAATATAATCAGTGATAATTGATAAATGTAAGAATGTTTGTTGAGATAAAGGATGGTAATTGAGTAGAAAGAACGTATAGTTAGTAACATAGAGTAAAGAGGAAGAAAGAAATAATCAGTAATATTTGTAATTGATATGGACATTGGTCAACCGATATCAATATTTTATATTAATGGTATGTTATTTAGTGATTTCAAAAATTTTTGATCTTCTTTTTTTAATTCCTTTTCTTATAATTTCCTTTTTTTTTTTTTTTTGTTTTTAAGTTTACCATATTGTTTACACATATGCCTATTTTGTCAAACATTATGCTCTTTTGCCTTTTCAGTTTAATTAATTTTATTATTAATTGCTTAATTTAATTGTAGTTTCTTTTTTTTTTTGTTCTTCAACAAAAAATAATTTATTCCAATTACTTCACTTATTTCTATTTTTTTTTTCGTAAAGAATTCTTGTAAAAAAAAATGTATAATCATTGTAGTATAACTAATAAATTTTTTTTTTATCTTCCTCTTTTTTTTTATTTTATAATGATTATTTGGGCGAACAAATTATTATTTGATAATTGTTTAATTATGCATATTATATAGTTATTAATAATTATTTAGTTTATTCATAATAAGTAGATCAATAAGAAAGATGAAGAAAAAAGAAATCTTTTATTATTATCATTATTTTTTTTTTTGACTTCTAGTACCAAAGTGTAATAAACAAAAAAGAAAAAACATTTTGGTCAATATTATAAAATATTTATTACATTGCTATACCCACTGATTTATTTTATCATTGATATAATCAAAAAGAAAAAAATTTTTTTTTCAAATGGAAATTCAATTGTATTAATTACACATAAAATATGGTTGTTAAACAAAAAAAAAAAAAAAAAAATGAGAATGCATAAATAGTTTTAAACTTTAAATGTAATTTAAATATGTTAATAATTTTTCCTTCTTTTTTTTGCTCATAATATTTGATTGTAATTTTTTATCAACGATTATAACGGTTGTTTAGTTTTAATTGTTCAAAAAGGAAGAAAGAGGAAGGGGAAAAAGATGGAAATGATTTAAAAAGAAGAAAAAGTACTTTCAACAAAAATTATTTCAAAATTTTTAGTTAATTTAAATTTTTTTTAATTTAAAAAAATATTAAGATTTATCATTTATCACTTTGCAGGTGGTATGTCATCCGATCTATCAGTTTCATTAGACACAGAAACATCCGAATTGGAATTAATTGAGAAAGATTTAGCATCCACTCATTATGCTACCAATCAACAAAAAATTCTTCGTCCATTTTATTCAACAACCAAACGTGGCAGTGGTAAAAAAAAAAAAGAATTATTCATTATTTTTCATTTCTTTTTTATATTTGAATTAAAATTATTTGAAAAAAATTATGCTAAAAAATTAGTTTAATGCAAAGTTTTATTATTTCGTTTAAAAAAAAAGAAAAAATTTATTTCTATTTATCTTTTGCTTTTTTTTTTTTCATACAAATTCCTAAAATTTTTTCTTTCCTCTTTTTTTTTTTTCATTTTTAGTGAGTAAAATCATTTTCAGTATAAATGATTGATCGATAATATTTTGAATTAATTATATGCTATGTAACCAAATAAATAATAATCAACAATAAATTATTTATGTGAGAATATGAAAATTAATGTAAATTTATATAGAACGTTGAAAATTGTTTGATTGATTATTTATTTTTTTTTTTTCATATTTTTAGGAGCTTTTAACGAAATGATATCATCGCAGTCTACGGCATCACCAACTTCAGTCAATATCATAGATTATAGTGATAATATAAAAAAGCAAATTCATAATAAGGTATTATCTCTTATTTTGATTATCATAACTTTTTTTTTTTAAATATATGTTGTGATTTATTTTATTTCGTTATTGTAAAAATTATAAAATATAAGTATTATTAGAGACAAACAGAAAAAAATGAGAGGAAAAAAATAAATAAGCATATATATATATGTATAACATATCACTAAATTATATCAAACAATTTCTAAAACAAAGAGGAAAGCAAAAAAAAAAAAAAAATATTTGTTTGGCTTTTAAAAAAAAGTGAAAAAATTAAACGATAAAAGTGTTAATGTAATGTTTGAGAAAAACTGCAAGCAAAAAAAAAAAAATATTGTTTGCTAAAATTAAATAATTAAAGAACCTCAAAAAGGAACAAAGAAAAAGACAAAAAGAAAAAAAAGTTTTGAATTAAATTTAGTCATTTAATTTTAGGTTTTTGTTGAACTATATGATTTGGATTTGCAAAAGGGTGGAGAATGGACAGAAACTGCTCGATGGATTAAGTATGAAGAGGTTTTATTTTCTATTTTTTTGAAATATTTAAAATAAAAGATGTAAATTTTACCAGTAATTACTTAATAAATTTTGATTGTGCTTTAAATTTTGTACATATTCAATGAACACTTTTAAATCAAAAATTTTATCAATATTGCAACAGTAATTGGAATTAAATTTTTTTTTATTCTTTAATATTAAATTTGCACTTTTAGATTAAATAAAACTTTTTAAATTTTAAGTTTTACTTGTCATAGATAATATCATGTAGCTAATTTTGATTTATACATTTATATTGAAATTTTATTTAGGATGTTGAAGGAACAGATCATCATTGGGGTCAACCACATGTCTCATTCCTTTCATTTCATGCCTTACTCTCTTTACGAAAATTTATGCGAACAGGTTGCACATTCTTTAATCAAATAATTCCTTTCCTTTCTTTCTTTTTTTTTTTCTTCTTTAAAAAATATTAGCAAAAATCAAATTATTTATTTATAATAATTTCAAAATTTATAAAATGATATTAACTTCAAAATATGTACATTTTTTTTTAAATTTCAAGGATCAATTTCATAAATGTAAGTGTTAATTTTAGGTATGATTTTACTTGATTGTAAGGCGAAAACATTTCTTGAGATTTGTGATCAAGTAGCTAATGCAATGATTTCGGAAGGAATTACTTGTAGAAGACGTGATATAATGCAAATTTTAGCAATGAAACAAGCGTAGGTTTATATTATTTTTGTTTATTTTTCTTTTTTCTTACTAAATATTGAAAGAGATGTAATTTTTGAAATTGGAAAGATTAATTTTAAACATTATTCTAGTAACCGTTTCAAAGAAATTTTTAATTTTCAGTCAGCATACCGAGATTTCCCTCATTTAGACATCCATTACCACGTCGAATGACTGCGCTATCATTGGCTGGTTCAGTGTTTGATCGACGTCCTGAATGTAACTTAATAGGATCAAATACGTTGGATAATGCTAAATTACGTATAGGTATTAATATCAAATTCTTTCTTTCTTCTCCTTTTTTTTTAAAATCATTTAAAAAAAAAAAATTTCCCACTTTATACTAAATTTTCTTTTTAAAGTAAAAAAAAAAAGTATTTAGAATTTGTAAGGAATATTTTTATAAATTAATTTTTAGATTTATTGAAACGAGAGCATTCATTTCAAACTTGTAATATACGTAAGCAACCAACGATAGCTGAAGAAGTTGATGAAATGGAACATGCTGCATTAACTGAAATACAAGATATACCAATTAGTGCCCTCAAACAACAAAGGTAAGTTCTCTTCTGTTTTTTAGTTTTTATCGCTACGATAGTTTTTTTTTTTTCAATTGGATAATTTCAGTTCATTAATTCTTTTCCTCTCTTTTTTTTTTTTTTTTTTTTTGCTTATTTTATTTAAAATATTTTAGCTTTCCCAATCTTCCGGCAATTCCAGCAGTTCAAGAAAGATTATGTTTAAATCCAACAAAACAATCTACGACAGCATATTTCATTTCAGATTCACTAGGAAAGTATGTATATTATTTATCTCAAATTATATTCAACAATTATTGTGTTTATCAATTATATATTTATCAGATATCAACAAATAGAATTTGTTAGTCATATTTTAAAAAAAAATAAAAAAGAATAAGTGAAATGATTTTTAGAGTTAGAACACATTCATCGGAAATTCATAAAGGTGAAGATATCTTGAAGAAACTTCCGGTTGGTATCGAAACGGCACAGGTTTAGTTTTTTTCTTTTTTTTTTTCCTTTTTCAATTTACTTTTTTAGAAAAATGTCATGTTTTGGTACTTTTTTTAATTCTTCCTTTTTATTTTTTACCATAGGAAGATTGCATCATTTCAATTTAAATTTTTAAAAATCAGTGAAATTTAATTGTTTTTAAATTTATTAGTAAAATTCTTTCGCTACTATGTTTTCAGATTTTTGTTGGTGTAATTCCAAATTTAACAAAAACATATTTTGTTATGCTTCGATTAAGTGAAGCAACAGTGATGCCGGAAATTCTTGATGGTGAAGTACCGCTTCGTTTTGCTGTAGTGATTTTAGGACCAGGTCAACCGGATATTAGTTATCATGAAGTGGGACGTTCCATTGCAACATTGATGACAAATACGGTTAAATTTTCATTTATTCATTTTTCTGTCAAATTATTTTTGCAATAAAAAAATGCAAAATTTAGACACTGAAAATTCTCAAATTATTGTATTTAATGAGCCAAAAAAAAAAAAAATTAAAATTCTCAAAAAATTTATTTTAAGGAATTTAATGCTATTGCATATGAGGCAAATGTTCGTGAAGAGCTTATCTGTGGTGTGGATAATTTTTTGGATGATTCTGTTGTTATTCCACCCGGTGAAATTGATAACAAACGTTTATTGTCTGGTGACGAAATTCGAAAAGCATTGAAAAAACGACAAAATCGACGAAAAGTTATAGAAGAAGAAAGTTGTATGTTTTATTTCTTTACTTTTTTAAAAAAAAAACATCAAAATATTAATTAATTTTTCTTTTTTTTTTTTGGCTAAATTTTTATGATTAGAAATTATATGAATGAAATATATGTTTTATGTGTTGTCTTTTTGTTTTGTTTTGCTTTTGTTTTGTTTGCTTTTCTTTTTTTTCAGCTTCACCACCAAAAAGTGAGCAAAAAAATGACATTAATTTTAAAAGACACTTCGAAAAAAAGGAAAAATGTCGATTTTTTAATGGGATGATTAATGATTTTGAAAAACGATTTCCTTATTATTGGTACGTAGCATTTAAAACATTTAATTATTATATTCAACTAACAAATTTTACAGGAAAAAAAGGAGAAAGAGAGAGAGAAAGAGAGAGACAGGGATAAAAAAAAGAAGAAAAGGAAAGAAAAGAAAGAGAAAAGTCAAAAAGATCCACAAAATATCCACGTCTTTTGGTAGTTTCCACAACGCCGTAATTTAATATCATTTGATTGCGTTTACTGTCTTTTTGCAGTCATTTGGGAAATTTCCGGATCAACTTAAACTGATGATAATTGTGCGCTCAGAATATGAATGTAAGACGGAAACAGGAAAAGAAACACTCCAGCCGCCACTGAATAAATTTTAGGTCTGATTATCGTGATGCGCTCAATTTTCAATGCCTTACAAGTGTCGTATTTATGTTTTGTGCCAGTTTTGCACCCGCAATTACATTTGGTGGTTTATTAGGTAAGTTTATCATACATACACATACATATGATTAGATTATCTAATTATTAAGTATTCTATTATTAATACCATTGAGTATTTGATGTTACGCTTAAAATTTCAAAATTTTATTTCTTTATATTTTATCAACAAAAAAAAAAAAAAGCAAAATAAGAAGAAAAAAAATGGTATTATTAATTTAATTACCTGAAATTATCGAACTATTTTCAGGTAAATATACGAATGAAAAAATTGGAATACTTGAAACTTTGATGGCACAATGCATTTGCGGTGTACTTTGGGGAATATTTGCTGTTCAACCGCTTATGATTATGAGTGCAACAGGACCAGTTCTTGTTTTTGAAGTTAGTCTATATGCGGTAAGTTATTTTTAAATCAATAATTTTACGAATTTTAATTATTAAATTATAAAATGTTTAGTACAGTTATTTTCATTAATGCATATAATTGAAAAGAGAAAAAGTATTTTCATTATAATTTATTATGTTTATTCTCTTTTTTTTTTCTTTACATATTTTAAAAATTTAATCATATAATTTCATCAATTTTTTATTTTTGTTTCTTTATTTTTCTAGTTCTGTACTAATCTAAACATTGATTTCCTAACGGTTCGACTTTATGCTGGCTTATGGGTGTTAGTGATTTCAATTATTACTGTCGCAGTTGATGGATCCAGAATGTTACGTTATGTGACACGTTTCACTGAAGATATCTTTGCTTCATTAATTTCAGTGATATTTATTGCGGAAAGTTTACGATTTCTTTATCAGGTATTGAAATATACTATTGTTATTTTTGTCAATTACTGTTATTATTAATTTCTTTCTTCCTTTTCTTTTTCTTATTATTTATCATGAAAATTTCAATTCTTTTTGTTTTTTCTCAGTAATACTTTAAGTTTCATATACAGATTACAATTTTATAAATGAACTTGCTTAATTAATTAATTAGATAACTTTTTTTTTTAAATCTTATTCAGACATTCATTCATAATCCAGTTGCGAATTTCGAATTTTATCGACATATTCGTCAAAAATGCGAACTAAATGCTTTCAATGGAGAAAGAAACGATTCACAAATGTTATCAATTTGTAATGGTGAACCGAATACAGCTTTATTAACCACTTTTATTATGATCTCTACTTTTGCATTAGCATATGGTTTAAGACTACTACGACAAAGTTACTATCTGGGAAGAACGGTTTATAATTTTCACTGATTATTTTAGCAAAGTATTACAAATAGAATTTTATTTGTTCATATTAAAATTTTGTTTATCTTTTTCAAATTTTAAATTTATCTTACAAAATTTCTGTTGAAAAAAAATTTAATTAGTCTTTTTCTTTTTGAAATTCGTATTTTTTTAGCAAATAATTTTTAGCTTCGACGTGCACTTGGTGATTTTGGTGTGCTAATTGCAATTGCAGTAGTTGCAAGTGTTGTACATCTGTTAGTTCCAGATCCTTATTTACAGGTTAGTTAATTAAGATTTCATTCCAAAAATGTTTGATTCTTGTTGCAGTTAATACTAATTAGTTAATTTGTTAAATTTATATTAATTTTAGCGTTTGGAAGTACCAGATCATTTTAGCTTCACTAATATTGAAGCACGACAGCATGGCTTATTTGTTTCTGCATATTTACCATTGAATCAATTATGGGTAATTATAGTTGCAATTGTTGCAGCACTGCTTGTTTTCATACTTTTATTTGTTGAAACTGAAATTACTGAGTAAGTTTACAAATGTTTGATTTTATATCTAACATACCTGATATTCTATAAACTAAGGTGCCTAAGACTTTATAAGCAAGTTTTGTTTTTTTTTTTTTTTCGTTCGTTTGTCTTACTATTATTTTTTTTTTTTAAAGATTAATTTTATTAAAATTATTGTAGATTGTTACTATCTCGTAAAGATCGTTGCTTAGTGAAAGGAAGTGGTTTGCATTGGGATTTATTGCTAATGGGTGCATGCACATTGCTTTGCAGTATTTTTGGTTTACCATGGATGTGTGCTGCTGCAGTACAATCATTAGCACATTGTAGTTCACTTTCAGTTCCAAAAAAAACTGCACCTGGTGAACGACGTGGTATAATTTCTGAATTACTTAATTGATCTTTTACAATGATTGTATTATCTATCTATCACCTTTAAAGTGTAAGATTAATTCAATGATTCATGCAAATTGAACGAACAATGTGAATTCGTCTTTTATCATTTAAGAGAAGTGATAAATTTTAATTTAAAATTTCTTTATAAAACATTTATTATTCATTTTATATAATTAGGTCTATTACATTTTCTTTTTGTTTGTTTTATAAACATTTATAGTAGTAATTATAAAGTTTAATTTGAATTTATTCTTAATTTTTTGAGTAACAATTAACTTTTGTATAATTTGAATTTATTATTAGTTTGTGATTTCAATTATCGTTTTTATTTCATATTTGCTAATGTAGGAGTGGATTATGTTCTGGAACAACGTGTTACAACAATTGGTGTATCATTGTTAATGGGATTATTTGCTTTTGGTGGTTCATATCTACGACTTCCATTGGCATCTTTATTTGGTGTTTTCTTATATTTAGGTGTTATGAATCTTACAGGTGTACAATTTATTCAACGAATTATTCTTTTCTTCATACCGGGAAAGTATTTTCCTGACACACCGTATACTGAATCGGTAATTGGATTGTTTTAATATATTTTTATTATTTTAATTTGATATTATTCAAAAGCAAAAAAAAAAAATTTAATGTATAAATAAGATTTTTTTTTGCTTTTTGCTGATACATCCTATATTGAATTGGTAATTATTCTAATACATTTCTATTATTTTGCTTTAATATTATTCAAGTTTTTTTTTTTCTTTTTGATATATTAATATGATTATTTTTTTTTTTATATTCAATTTTATATTACATATGCTTTTGTTAAAAAAAAAAAAGGAAAATTTTAAATCCATTTCAATCTTTTTAGGTAGATATTCGTCGAATGCACTTATACACAGCTATACAAATAATATGTTTAATTATTATTTATGCTGTGAAATACTTTAAACGAACTGCTCTTGCTTTTCCATTCATTTTGATGCTTTTTATTCTATTGAGACAATTTTTTCTTAAAAAAATTTTCACTGAAAAAGAACTTAAAGCGGTAATTACTTCTTCTTCTTCTTTCTTTCTCTTGTTATGTAAAAATTTGTAGAAATTCTTCCCGAAAATTTTTGATTACTTTCTTTTTTTTTTAGCTCAGAGTTGAATTTTTACGATTTATACATTTTCTTTTTTAGATACTAAAATTTTTAAAATGATTGTTTCATTGTTATTATATATTATTCTTTTCTCTTTCTCTCTTTTTTTTTCAGTTGGATGGTGATGATGAAACAAATAACGAAAATGGTTGGCTAGAGAAAGATTTTTTCGAAGATGCACCATTACCTGTATAAAGAATATTTGGTTATATTTTCAATAACAACAATGATAATATATCAATAGCTTATCAGTTCCATATCATATTACTATCACTTATTGATGTTATCATAATATATTTGTCATTCATACATTCCATATATTTAAATAGTTTTTTTTTTAAAAAAAGCACATAGTTTATTTTTTTTTTCTATCTATCTTACATTATGCAGCATTAAATTTTATATGTATGTATACATCATGAAAATTTTATTTTATTTTGTGCTTATTGTACACATTAATGTATTATATTTTACACTATCCATTTCATGTAATTAATTCCATTACATTCCATTTTTTTTCACCTCTTTATTCCAACCTTCTCTTTCTCATTCTTATCAACAGGTTTTAATTACCATTTGATGAACAATTATGTTAGTTTTTTTTTTTTTTTTTTAAATTTATTTGAATTCATTGCTGTAATAAATGTACTGCTGTTTTAGTGCACCGGAAAATTTTGTTTTAAATTCAGTAATGATAGGGTGTGTGATATTTGGAAATTTTTAAGGCGCTATTTTTAAAAATAAAAAAAATCAAATTTGCTGAAATTATATTTCATTCTGATACATTTATTTATTTTATATAAATGTGAATCACATTTAATCATCGAATTTCTGTTACGCATCTTCATTTACATTAAGCATTATAAGCCTTTCTAATAATTTATTCAAATCAACATTTGTGCCAACATGTTTATAAGCCTATATAATAATTTCATATATTCAATTGTATTTCATTTTATACACGGGTATCAAACAAAATAAAAGCTTCATGTAAACTAATCGTATTGTTGTCATTATCATAACACAATCACTGAATTAAACTTAATTTCAGTATTTTGTAATATTATAAACTGATTAAATCATGTGCAACTTAAAAAAAAAAGAGGAACTTAAAGTTAATTAGAAATTAGTTCAATTTTAAAATTATTTTTTCACGAATTTTCATCTTTCTGTTATTTTTTTATTTATTAGAAAATATATTTGAATCAGATTTGTTTTTCTTTTAAATAAGATAAGAAATGAATTGAAAATGAAGAACAAAAAATGCTTGTACTTTCATGCATTATAGAGTTCCAATTTGAAAAAAAAAAAAAAAAAAAAAAAAACTGCTGACAGTATTGTTAAAATTACTTTTATAACGTGAAAATACATTTCACAAAAATTTTTCTATTCTTTAATCAATAAAATTACACATAATGCATTGTAGGTTCTAATTTGAAGCAATAAAATTATGAGCAATAATATAGTGAAAATTTTCTCTAAATAATTTAATTTAATTAGTATTAAGTTTTATATGGCAAATGTTGGAAAATATTTACTACTTTTATATAAAAAATTTTATATAAAAAAGCAAAAAAAAAAAAAAAAAAAAAAAAACGAAGTTATCACAAATTCAAACATTCAGAAATTACCACAAAATTATTACACATTTAATGCAATGAAATTCATTTCATTATTAAAATTTCGAATTTCAACAATATTACTGAAATAGATTTTTGGCTCAAATAAAAATTTTTTAAAAGAATTATTTCATAGTTGTTTGTTTAAATTATAAGATCTAAATTTTATTTGCAATTATTTGTATAAAAAGAAATGTTGTTAACAGTAAATGTACTACTGACAATATTGTTAGAACTTACATCCAATAATGCAATTTTTTTTTTTTTTTTTTTTTTTGTTAAATTTTATCAATAGTACTAGTTTTCTTTCCATTCTTTTTTTTTTTTGTTTACATGCAAAAAGAAAGTACATTAAAAATGATTGCGTATTTATTGAAATTTACTATAGCTGTAAGTTATACAATTAACCTGTTTTATCTACAAACTTGTTTATAGATAAATATGATGATAAATAACTCGTACACTTTTTTTTTTCTTTTTTGCTATTCAAGAATTAATTATTAGTGAACAAATAGAGAATTAAACTGTTCGTTTCAGATTAATTAATTTAACTGGCATCAATTATTATTTATTATTGTATAATGAAATCAGTTTAAAATCTGTTCAAAATGGTTTTTTATTGGCCGTAAATCATTTTCACAAAAATGGTAGTTGTGTGATTGTTAGAGTTATTATTGCTGTTTGCTTTATTATTGTTGCTGTCGTTGTCATGGTTGTTGTTGTTGTTATTGTTTTAGTTTTTGTTATTGCTACGGATTTTACACTAATTTCATTAATATTGTTGTTGTTATAGTACATAGTTGCACAACCATTAATTAGTTTGATTCTAAAGAAGAATTATTGATTCAAAAGACATTTTTTAAAAAGCGTGGAGAAGGATCGAAAAAGAAAAAAGAAATGAAGTGAAAAAAAGAAAGAAAACAAATAAGAGAAATTATTATTGTAATTGTATACCAATTCTTTCTGTACAAATTTACCAAATATTCTAAGAAATGTCTTTGAATTTTTATACTTTTGTTCAGTGTTTTAATTTTAAAATAGAATCTTAAAATTAGCTATTATTGTTATTCAATTTTGCTTCAATATCGTCATTGTTATTATTGATAATTTCCTAACAATATTACTATTCTTCCGGTTACCTTCCAATTAAAATCAAATTTTTAGTTCCAAAATTCTTAAAATTAGATGTGATACATTCATTTGATAACACTTACTAGGCATATCATAATTAGTAAAAAAAAAATGAATTAAATTATGATATCAATAGGCAACTTATCAGAATGGTTATCTTAGCACTAGTAAAAGTTCTTCACGTTTCTCTCTAGAAATACTTTAGATCGAATAATATTTGTATGATGCTTAGGTAATCAAATTGGATAACGGAGTAATCACCAATCAAATATCAATTATAAAAACTGCAAATTCTGAAATTAACATTTCAAATTTTAAAGGTCAAACAGTATACATCTGTTATTATTGTGAGCGATCAGTGTAATTTCTGCCTCTCTTTTGAAAATATACATATTAAAGGACAATAATCTTTAATGAATTTCGGAAATGTTTTTTTGATCACAAAAAAAAAAGGTTAAAAAAGAAATTTAAAATTATACAACGTGTGATAATAGAAGCTCGTTATTTTTATTTTTTGCTTTGTAAATACCTTAGTAATAGAAAGTGAAATCTTAGGTAATATCGAGAAAAAAAATTTTCATTACAGCATTACGTCTACTGTCATCAATTGTTATTGCCATTGAATTCGTTGTGTTGCAATAGTTTATCCTTTTCCTTTAAACGATGAGATTTTATTTCAATTTTATCATCCATTATTAATCATATCAATTAGTCTGGTCTTATACATAATAAATCAGATAATCATATTTGATCCATTAATAATAAGAAAAATGAAGGAAGACGATTAAATTAAATCAACGAAAATAAACCAAAGTGGGAAGGTATGAAAACAAATGATAATTATTCCTATCTGATATCGGTGCATTGATAATTGATAACATAGACAAAATATTTTTAATTTCTTATTTCTTACACTTTTTTTTTTCTCTTTTCTTTTTAAATCTAAATTTTAAATGAGAAGAATTTTCTTTTATTTCATCATTCAACAACTGCTAAAATTTATTCATATTCTTTCTTATAATGACATTTTCTTGATTGAAATGGATTTCATTTTTTGTAAGTTTAAAGTCTCAGATTCAATGAAAAATTTGGATGCATAAATCTTCTCACAGATAGAAGTGCTTATTGAGAGGAAAAAACAAAACAAAATAAACAAAAAAAATAAACAATAATAAAATTTACAACGGATATATCGTATATAGTTTCGCTGAATATTCTTTGAAAAAAAAAAAGAAACAAACAAAATAAATTGCATCTATCACAATTTCAAAACACCGATGGAAACGGAGAGTAATGGCGGTAATGTTCCACTTGCTTGAGCAGTTTCACAAAAAGAATTCATCGTCCACAATTAATATCGCTTTTCATTTGCCACTATTGTTACCGTCACTATTATTGTCATTATTATTATTATCATCCTTATCATTATCAGCAATCATTACTACCATCGTTATCATCATTTATCTTATAGCTCATCATTTCATCCTTTTACATTTCACACACCCTTCTCCCTCTCTTTTCCTGCCCTCATTTCCGTCTTGTCTATCCTAACCTGTTTTATTTCCACTCCACTTTTTCTCTCTCTTACCTTTCTCAATCTTTTCTCTTTTTTTCTTTACCACCAAGTCTTCATGCGATATTCCACATAAATTTTTACAAAACCATTATCCTTCGTCACTTTTTTTTTTTTTCTACAATGGAATTCAAAATTTCTTTTTTTTTTTTTTTGATTTGAAAATAAAGGTTTTAAATTTTTAAAATTACCACTAAACAATCTATTGATCTTTTCATTAGTTTATTATACTGCACAATAATCTTTTATCGATTATCATTCATTGCACATCTGTGACAATTGCATTTGATTTCCGTTACATATTTTGATATTATTGAAATTTGAAGAATGAAATTTTAAAAACCACTGACACCGCTTAAAACAAGAAGAAAATAAAAAATTAATTCCCAACTTTATGATTGATAATAAAATAATGCATATCAAAATTGTAGGTTTATTTTGTTTTAAAATACCAAATAATAGATAAAAAATAATTAAATTATTATTCTGAGAAATATGTAATTTATCTGAATTAAAAAAAAGGTTAGAAAAATAATATTAAATAGTACCCTTTTAAAATGTTTTTTCCCCCTTTTTTTTTTTTTTTTTTTTTTTTGTTAGCTTAAATATCATTTCAATCATAAAATTTCGAATGAATATTTAGGATTTAAACAATAAAATAGCCAAAGAATAGTTTTATGTAACATTTAGAACTGATTTGGCGGTTCATTGAAAGATTTCTCTGTCCTTGATTAAATCAACGACCTCTTCTTTTCCTTCTCCTTCTCCTTTTCCTTCTCCTCCTTCTCCTTCTCCTTCTCCTTCTTCTTCTCCTTCTCCTTTTCCTTCTCCTTCTCCTTCTCCTTCTCCTTCCTTCCTCTTCCTCCTCCTCT